CCAGCCATTCCCAGTGCTCCTTGCTTTTAACCCCAGTGTAGGGGGGTTTGCTTCTTAGCCTGCTGAGTTCTTGTGAAGGTGCTTATCTTCAGTTTCACCACTTACTTATCACCAAAGCTGCCTTTTTACTAAGTCCCTTTTAAGTTTGGAGTTATTCAGATATAAAGAGAACTATGATTTTGCATATTTATTTAAAGAATCTTAATTCAGCCACGTTCTCCAAGTTGTTTTCTTTTCCATTCTTCCAAATACTGGCCATGCTGAATCAAATTTTAAGTAGGCAAGAATTTGCAAAGACATGTGCATCTGTGGTTACCTAAAAGTTCCAAGTATAACAAATCTGTTGGGTGAAAAAAATATGTTCTTGCTGGTGAAGTTGTAAAGAAAGTTACTTAGAATACTTCACCATACAATACTGGCAGATGCTTAGTGGGGATAGTTATGAAACATTTTGTTGATTTTCAGAAAACTCTAGTTTTTCATTTGTTAATATTATTACAAGGCTTTCCCCCCTTTGTTCCCTTCCTTGCACATTTTTTTTTCTTGTATCCATGGGTCAGTACATTTTTATCATCAATACTGATCTCTAACTTGATAATCGTTGCTACCCAAACCAGGACTTCCAATAGTAGTTTTCTTTTGAGAGTTACTGCTGAAATGGTCGATTTGATTAAGTCAGAGAAAGAGGGCAGTAAGGTAACCAGGTGTCTATAAAACGAGCTTTTTAAAATTTTGTTTACTTATTTATTTATTTAGTTGTAGTTGACACAATACCTTTATTTTATTTATTTATTTTTATGTGGTACTGAGGATCAAACCCAGGGCTTCACACTCACTAGGCGAGCGTTCTACCACTGAGCCTAACCGCAGCCCTATAAAATGATCTTAAACAGCTTTAACACAGTATTATTCTTTGTATTTTTTTTATATATGGCCTCATTTTCATTAGTCAACAATTCATACCTCTACTTCCAAAGGCAAGTGGATTCATCTTAATAGGTAAAAGATTGAACCAATGCTTTCACCACTTGCCCCATGGGGAACATCTCTGTACATCCTAGTTTCTTCCCAAAACACCCTTTGGTCCCTCCATCAAATGTCTAAACATAATCCAGCCAGAAGCTAAAGGAGACGGTGCTTGATCTTCTACTGCCTTGCCCTGTGCTCTTACTCAAAACATTTGTGTTGTTGTCTTGGGATGTTTTCTCTTTGTGTACAACAAAGCTTTCTGTTTCAAAAAGCTGATTGATGATGGGAAAAAGCAGCCATACTCTAAAGTGCATTTCTAAATGCACACATTCTAAATGTAAACTAAATAACTTTCTCTAACTTGTAAAACAAAAACACCTGTGTGTTTAAAACTCCCATGTTGGAGGCCAGCACATTTTCATTGGGAAGTATTTAAGTACAGTAATAGAGCCTCTGTCCTTAGACAACTTGGATAGCAGTAGGGAGAGTCAGACAACAAAAATTTAGGCAAATGATGATTTCAGCAACAAAGAGGTGTGGTGGTTTGAAAAGAACTTAAATGGAGTGTCATTTTCTAATTTACATTTTAAAAATATCTGGTTGCTGTGTGAAGAGATTGAAAAGGGGCTTTTACTGGATGGTATCTATGAAGTTGGAGGGAAATATATAGAATTTAGAGAGGTGAGAAGAAGATAAAATGGAAAGAACCTGGTAATGGGCTGAGTAAAGGTGAGGATGATATGGTGGACAGTTTCCCAGGTTTTAGCTTAAGCAAATGGCTGGAAGAGAAACTATTCATTGAGATAGTAAAGAATGGAGGAGTGCAGGTAAATGGATAGAGATGGAGAATATTATGCTAAGTGAAATAAGCCAATCCCCCAAAAAAACAAATGCTGAATGTTCTCTCTGATATGAGGATGATGATCTATAGTTAGGGGTGGGGCATGGGAGGAATGGAGGAACTTGAGATAGGACAAAGGGGATGGAGGGAAGGGAGGGGGGATGGTGGTAAGAAAGATGGTGGAATGAGATGGACATCTTATCATGTATGAAGACATGAATGGTAACTCCACTTTGTATACAACCAGAGAAATGAAAAATTGTGTTCTATATGTGTAATATGAACTGAAGTGCATTCTGCTGTCATATATAACAAATTGGAATTTTAAAAAATGGAGGAGGACTTCTTTAGGGGACAGGAAAGAATCAAAGATTCAGTCTAGTATTTGTTTTGTGATGCCTACAAAATCACAAAGGAAAAGAAAAATCTTAAATACTTTAGCAAAGCAAGTCTGGAAAAGAGGTCAAGGCTGAGTTATAGCTGTGGGAGTCATGGCACATGGGTGGTATCCGAAGCCATGGGAGTGGATGAGATCACACGGGGGTGAGAAGAGACTGAAGGAGAAAAACTTGGTCCAGGACTAGCTGTGAGAAACACCAGGCCTGGAAGGGATCTGGGAGAGCATGTGGAACTGACAAATGAGCCTGAGCAGGAGTGGCTAGTAAAAGCAGTTAATTTACAAGGAAGAAAAAAGTCATGTTTTATGATCACAGACCACACATTGCTGGCCAGAAGCTCTCAGCCACAAAACCTAGTTGGCTCAGAAAAAGCTCTTCTAATGCTGGAAAATAAATTCACTGCATGCGTGTCTTCCTGGTAGATGGGGAGAAAGTGCTCCATCTTCATTTTAAAAGGCAACTATGCTGGAACAATCCAAAGAATAAAATGAAAGCGTGATGTAGTTGCTATGTTTCCAAACAGGGTTTGAAGTTCCTCTGGAATGAATATGAAAGCCTCAGAGATCAGCTTCCTTGTTCTGATTCTGACTTGACTGCCAGTAAACTGGGGAATAATCTTGCTTAGCAGGCACTAGATTTGCCTTTACATCCTTGTGCAGGAGGTTGAAGTACTGCCCCAAAGTTTTTGTTTCTTTTTGTGTTTGAAAATAAATGGAACATTAAGATTCAATAAGAAAAGCAGCTGAGAAGAGATGCAAACTTGCAAATCCAGCCTAGGATGAAGAGTAGCACAAAGGAATCCTTTGAATATCTCTCCCTCTGGTACAACACATAAAGTGTGTCCATCTGAGAGACATTGCAGAAAACCCCAAATGGGATAGTGCCAAGTTCTAAAAGATTAAAAACAGAATAACTTTTCAACTTTAGGCAGAATACATTGTTGAAATCCTAGAATTATTTGCTGTGTATCTGAAAATGTTTGAGTATCTACTCCTGCATAAGTCAGATTTATTTATTTGTTGAGGTCCATATTGAAAATTTTAAGGTAAGAGATGGTCCTTGGTCTTCACATAGTAATATTAACTATGTAGGTGCCATTCTGATATAAATTCTTTACTGTGAATTAACATTCTTTTGTAAATCACTGAAGAAATAGGAATAGAAATAGACTACTGCTTAACTGATAACATTTAAAAGCTTGGAAACTGCCATGAAATTGACTATTTCTCATTCTTTTTCACTTTCCTTTTCTTTCTCAAAATAAATTTTAGTTCTTCTTCTGCAGTTTCAGTTCATGTTTCAGAAGTTTAAATATCAGCATTTGTGAGGGCGGCACTTCTAGTTCAATCATGAGATTCTTTTTGTAAATATACATGATTGTGTATTTATGAATGATCATTAGGAACCACTTTTGTAGTTTCCTATATAGTACTGTATACCTACCATGAGGCCAAGTTGCCAATAGAATGTGACTCTTCTTTGTCCCAATTTCACATCTAACATGACAGTTCCAGATTGAGGGAGTCACCCTTTTTCTGAGTCTTCCCGGCTTGGGTTGGAAGGCGTTGCCTTCTTGCTTCCTAATAATGCTAGCCTGTGCAAATGAGAAATAATTTTATATCATCGATGCCCTGACTCATTCCTATCTGCCTGTATTTTTAAGCTTTTTATCTTTTATCACCAAACTTTCCAGCAGGTGGCCTAAGCTCATACACTGGCATGTGCAGTGAGAGCAGCTACCTCTGGACCCAAAGATGGGGGATACACCCTTAGAACAAAAGTTCTGAAGCCTTAGGAGACGAGGGATAAAGCATAGTTACAGAGAAGTGGCTTTCAGATTGCAACATGGACAGAGCAAGGGAAATTGTGGTAAAGGAAAATAAATCTTGATTTGGGGAATAAACATTTTTTGAGCATTTTCACTAAGCTAGAAGCATGATACATACAACTGTTATTTTGTGTATCTTAAACATTTGTCAAATTAAAAATTATGATCATTCCAAGTAAACTCTAAGCATCACCTTTTTCAAAGTATGTTTTTCATGTAGCACGTTCTGGTAGCTCATGAAATATGGCTATTTCAAAATGTAAAAAAATGGAAAAGAAACAATGAGTCATTTATCAGAAATGGCAAATGACATTGGGCTCTCTGAGGAGTATTTCCTTCCAAAGCCTGACTTCTGGGAGTTGAAATTCAAGGTGGTCAGGATGGCTGAGCTAGAGACAGCCAGGCAGTGTCTTATGAAAGTAGCCTTTTTTGCAAATGTATTATAAAACAGGGCCCTCTCTTTCATCTGCTTCTAAGAATTTCCCATTTTACCCAATCTCAAGGCTTTGCCATTTATCTTCCTTTCATTTAAATTAATTTCTTTAAATTGCTCTGGGTTGCTGTTGCCCAGAGGACAGAAGTAGAGTTGACTTTATATTTTAAATCAGGTAAAAACTACATAAAAACTTACTACTTCATGAGATGTACTATTTTGAAATCAGAAAGTTATTTTCAAGAAAGCCACCAACTTTATAAAAGTATTGACTACATAGCAGAAGTTACAAAATATTTGAGTTACACATCATGCTGTTAATTTCATAAAAGAGAATCCAATGGCCAGAAATGTAGAAAAAAATTAAACTGATTTTCTTGACAGAGATTTTATCAGTAGATGGGAGGCAAAGTACATCTACTGATAAAATCTACAGAAAATGAGGGGAAAATACTCCCTAATATTTGGTTTTTTGATTTGATTCTTTTGTTGATATTTCCTGATCTTTTATTCTCCCTCTCTCTTCTTTAGTGGCCACAGATGTCTTTAACTCCAAAAACCTGGCCGTTCAGGCACAAAAGAAGATCTTGGGTAAAATGGTGTCCAAATCCATCGCCACCACATTGATCGATGACACAAGCAGCGAGGTGCTGGACGAGCTCTACAGAGTGACCAAGGAATACACCCAGAACAAGAAGGAGGCTGAGAAAATCATCAAAAACCTCATCAAGACAGTCATCAAGTTGGCCATCCTTTACAGGAATAATCAGTTTAATCAAGACGAGCTGGCACTGATGGAGAAGTTCAAGAAGAAAGTCCACCAGCTTGCTATGACGGTGGTCAGTTTCCATCAGGTGGATTACACCTTTGACCGGAACGTGTTATCCAGGCTGCTGAACGAGTGCAGAGACCTGCTCCACCAGATCATCCAGCGCCACCTCACTGCCAAGTCACACGGACGGGTTAATAATGTCTTTGATCATTTTTCAAATTGTGAATTTTTGGCTGCCTTATATAATCCCTTTGGAAATTTTAAACCTCACTTACAAAAACTTTGTGATGGAATCAACAAAATGTTGGATGAAGAGAACATATGAGTATGTGAGTTAAGATTGTGACTGATTGTGATTTATTTGAAGTTGGAGCACTGCTGATTCATGAAGGAACAAAAGAATTTTTTTTAAAAGGTTATACATATTTCAGAAAGACTTTGCCCAATTCAGCTGTCAGACATTAATGGTAGTGCTTTCATGAGGTTTTATTTGAAGAAAACTTTGCCAAAAGTTCTGGCTAAAAGCTTGTTAATGGGTGAGAGATCATGAGAAAAATGTATGGTTGGTAATGCACATGTAGAGTTATATAAAAGAGAAACAAGTACGGCTCCGAACTTTAAGATGTTTTTAGGGCAGTTATTGGTGGCACATTGGATATTTCTGATATGTACAAAATTACATATTTTGTTTCACTTTTATTCCTTACTATGTATATGCTCTTTTATGAAGCCAAGAACTTTTTCTGTCATTGCTCCTTTTGAGTCAGTTCTATTTTCAGGCCTACTCTTGATTCTTGTGTAATAGATTATGTCATTGACATTCTAGAATTAATTCTGAGGCAGTCATGTTAAACCCTCAGAAAAACAAAAAAAAAACTCCATATATGAAATCAGTACTGTGGTAGTGAATTAATTAGACATTATGAATTAGGTCCAATGTATGGAATATGCTTCTGAAAAAAAAAGTACTTCTTCTTTTGTTCCAACAGTGACACTCAAATTCTCAAAAATGTAATGGCATGTTATTGCTTTGAAATGCTTGCTTCAAGTTTCTCTTTGATGTTGTCTTTGAAAGTGTGCTGATAAAAATCTCCATTATTAACGTCCATTTCATGTGTTAGAGACTAAGAGAAAATATATCTATCAATTGGTTTTGATATTGAGGCAATAAAAAATGGATAACTTTAATAAAGTAAAAAAATATTCATTTTAGAGATGAACCCAACAAAATAAATTAGGAGCATGTGGGACAAAAGGGAAGAAAGGGAAGAAAGGATGTTGCTAAAGAACATGAGCAGAAAGATGAATGCGTTTTGTTGTTTAAGAAGGTTTGATAAATAAACAATGTCACTTTTTTTTATTTACCTATGAGGTTTTGGTATTTTGTTATTGGATATTTTAAAAATGAGTAAACTAAAGAATATTTGCATTCTAAGCAGTTTGTCTTGGTTTCTATGTAATTTTTTAAAAATGCTTTTTTAAGTTGTAGATGGACACAATAGCTTTATTTATTTTTATGTGGTGCTGAGGATTAAACCCAGTGCCTCACATGTGTTAGGCAAGTGCTCTACCATTGAGCCACAACCCCAGCCCCATTTCTATATAATTTTAAGTATGTGAATGATAAAGTAGTATAGCAAATGAGAGTATTTTAAAAAAAGAAATGGAGGGGCTGGGGATGTGGCTCAAGCGGTAGTACACTCGCCTGGCATGTGTGCGGCCCGGGTTCGATCCTCAGCACCACATACAAACAAAGATGTTGTGTCCGCCAATAACTAAAAAATAAATATTAAAAAAAAAGAAATGGAAACCTGCTAGCTGACTATATCATCTGGGAAATAACAGGCTCAACCACCAGCACTAGATATTTATTTGCATTGCCATTCTGTCTGTGATTTAGTGTACTCTTTGGCCTTGACTTTGCCTTCCTCCCAGAATAATGACATTAAAATAACAGTTCACTAGGAAGAGTCCCACAGATGAAAATTCCAGAAGTTGAGATCTATTTTAACCCATCACCACCTAGAGGGGAATGGTCAGTTTCTCCGGGACCATCTTTTGCTTGGCTAAGTAAGACAAGTAGCAACGGCAGAGTATCTTCCTGCTTGATATTAAATCCTGAGACTGAGGTTTGAACTGAAAGTAACATTCTCACTTCCTGGACCCAGTAGATGATCACTAGATGTTATAACAATAGCATGATGACTACAGAATTGGTCCTTGAGCTTCATAACCTGCTAAATGGCTCAGGAATGGAGTTCAACAGTCTTACTCAATCAACTCTCTCTTTCTTACATGGGAAAGCTGAGTGTGAGCTACCGGTTTGTTGCCTTCTGTTCTCTATCAGACCTCATAGTAGGACTATGGATGATGGAGTGCCTGGAGAGATGGTGAATGAGCTTCTTGCTCATTTCTAGCTGGGGACAAGACCTAGAGAGAAAAGACCTTGGGTGGTGGGTGGGGGGGGGCATAGTTAGATATGTCTGGGCACATTTGGATCATATTGTTGCCCCTGCAGGATAGCAATCAAATATGCATGGAAGTAGCAGGAGCAACCCTTGAACTCACACAGAGGAAAGGCAGTGAGGAGTATAGTCCTCCCTCTGTGTCTATAGGGGATTGGTCCCAGGATCCCTGCAGACACCTAAATCTATGGATGCTCAAGTCTCTTGTATAAAATGATGTAATATTTGCGTATAGCCTAACTATAACCTCTTTTTAAAATTTTTTAAAATTTATTTATTTTATTGTTTTATTCTGATTTGTTATATATGACAATGGAATGTATTACAATTCATATTACATATATAGAGAACAATTTTTCATATCTCTGTTTGTATACAAAGTATATTTACACCATTCGTGTCTTCATACGTGTACTTTGAATAATGATGTTCATCACATTCTACCATCTTTTCTAACCTCATGCCCCCTCTCTTCCCCTCCCACCCCTTTGCCCTATCTAGAGTTTGTCTGTTCCTCCCATGCTCCCCCTCCCTACCACACTATGAAATAGCTTTATGCTGATTATTTTAATGAATCAAAATAATAGCCATTATTTATCAGGTGATAACCATAACCTCTTACATTATTTAAATCATCTTTAGATTACTTACAGAACCCAATGTAAGTGCAATGTAAACAATTGTTACACTATATTGTTTAGGGAATAATGACAAGAAAAAGTACATCTGCTGCGCACAGCCATGCACACCTGTAATCCCAGTGATTCAGAGGCAGGAGGATCACAAGTTCCAAGGCAGCCTCAGCAATTTAGGGAGGCCTTTGGCAACTTAGTAGACCCTGTCTCAAT